TTTGGGTGTGTGGTCACATCATGCACATCTCGTGTGACACACACCCCTGTTATTAGGGGTTGTATAACCCGTTACAGACAGGATGTTTTCAGACAACGATTTTTGCCATTACGAGCCAGTGTTGCTACAAGACCCATGATCTACCGCTGCGTTTTGGTAGCAAAGCTGTTGATGTCCACAGTCGACCATCCATAGAGGTATTGTCAGACGAAACTGGTAAATCATGTACACTGCACACCGAAACGACGCCGGGCTGTTGTCAACGTTTGAGTTTGCAATCAACAAATCATTTTACGAGTCTACGGGATTAACTTTCATTTACGTAAGCGAGTTGGATGCCAGGGATGTCAGGATTACATGTCACGAATACAAAGGTCACGATGTTAAGATTGGAAATGCTAAAAAAAGTTTGCAGTCCATGTCTCCGATGTGCAACCGGTTTCTATGCAAAATAGATGTCGCCGCCATGCGAAATATGATTTGATTAGCCCAATTCACCATGCAATCGCAGATATCCGACAATTAAAATATTGAGGTATTGCATACGGTGTAGCCTTGCCTTTCAAATTTTGGAGCTGGATATACCTTGCTTAGGAACTGCGGCCTCCCATAAATACGTACCGGTATTTACGTAGGGCAGAATGAACATAGCCATTAAGCTATTGGTGCGATGTACAAGATCGCTATTTGTCACGAAGATTGACAGCGAGTTCTCAAGGCTGTGGAGGGAAAACCAGAGCTCGCCGATCGATGCAATCGCGAAGATCGTGGGCTTGAAAAGCCACGTCACGCACTAATATTCCGGCTACTTAAAATGTGAAAGATTCGATAGTTCGAACACCTGGCTCGATTTTAAAGGCATTGACTCCGTCCTGGAGATGACGAATCTCGCCCTGTCAACGTACCATCAAAGGACCAACAGGTGGAGCGAGCCTTGCGATTGCATGGCCATACCACTGGCTGCGCTGGATCGCAGTGGTCAGCTCCATTATAATGCGTAGAGTGTGGT